CCTGGTTCCAAGAATTGTCAAACAATTTTATCCTGTTGGTAAACCAATTCTGGGTGGAAAAAAAATAACGAGTTTAAAGGCTCACGCACAGCAGGAAGTCAGCTACAGACATCGACCATGACCGGGACAAAGTGTGATGGGCAGCCCTGAGCCGGTATTCTTCAGCGTGGTCTTTTTTTTGGAGAGACCTCATAGAAGCCACTCGTCAGGCTAACAGCCATCACTTTTAACAGACACCAGCCGTCTCCAGTAAATATAAAGAAGTCCAGTTGGCCAAAATGTCAAGACCCTCCTTTCTTCTCACTTAGAAGAAAGATCTTAGATTGAAGGGTCTTCTTCTTCTTCTTAAGAAGCGAGAACTTGAGTCCGCCGTAAACTTCTGTTTTGTGTCCGCTGCCCCGCGCTGTTGACCTCACCCCTTTTCTGATTGGCCAAGTTTGCGTATAAATTGAGGATGGTGCAACGATAAAGTGGTTGTGGAGGAGCTATATGTGATGGGAGAGAGGCTGGCAAGAAGCTCACGACTTCTCCTGGGAGTGCCTCTCATCATGCCATCCATGCCAGGCAATGTTTATGAACCTCAATTGATATAATCGACGAAGCTCTTACATGTTATGTGCAGTATATAGCGTATCTCCCCTACATCGGATCATTTTTTCAGTAAAAAAAAAAAACTGAAGATCACTCACATAGCATGCTGTGATGAAAATGAGAACGCTGTGATGACTCAGAACAAACTATGATGACACAGTGCACTGTGACATCACAGAGCACGCTGTGATAACATAAGGGAACTGTGATGTCACAGAGCACACTGTGATGACACATAACTTAGGCCACATGCACCCCCTGTGGCTAAAGGAACATCCTTGTTCATAACAAAAAAAAGTGCATTTCAAAGCCTGTACATCCTTTGGCCTGGAAACCGAAAAGCCTCCCTAGTTATCAACTCGAAGGAGGTCCTAAGCCGACACTGATGGGAAATCACGCGGCTGTCGCACCAGCTTGACTTCCTGGACAACTTAATACCACAGTTCCTGAATCTCAATGTGGAAAGGGGAGGCCAGGGGTTGCTGGCTGCTGCTGGAGATTTAATGGTTCATTAGTCTGTCAGCTGCCGTAAGTTGTCCAGACCGCAGCTACGCTAGCCATTCTACGACAGTGCATGAGGTCAAGCCACGCAGTGTAAAAATCTCTAGCAAACCATGCGACTGAAGTTCGACTATCGCATGGCCTTTTCTTTTTTGCCAGGCACTTGTTTTATTTGTTCACTGTGACGGGGCATTGCAAATTGTGGCAGCCATGTGGTGAACGTGAATATAAGCTCTCGTGATATTAGAATACAGTGGAAGCTGGATTTGAGCTCACATTATATAAGCACAGTTCTGACTTAAACCACACATTTCAGTGGTGGCGGGGAAAGGCGAAGGGGAACTTCTGATACAGTCACTCGACTTTGGACATGAGCACAATCTGGATTGACATGCTCCAAATGGGTGTGATCATATCCAGCTGAGAGAGTGGTGCATCAAAATTGATTGTTGTGCTGTGCTTTGATTTCATGTCTATGCTCCCTATTGTCACCAACCCGTACGGATCAGTGCGGTTAATTTTGGTCCAATGACCAGTGCGGCTGGGGCCCTCATCCAGCAGTAGATGGGAAAAAGGTCCGTACGTGAAAATGTACATTTTTAAAATGTCACGCACGTTTTCATAACAATATAGGGTGGGATGTTTTACTTTGCTGTTTCTCACCAAAAACATCTGGCATGGTGATTATGATCTGCTTAACGAGCGGTTATGTGTCAAATGGTGTTGGAGATTAGAATATCATGACTACAGTTGTTGCCCCATAATGTTCAATATATATGCTGAAGTGGAGAGCGGTAGATAAGAACAAAAAATACACACACACAACACAAATACACAAACACAGCAAGAAGTATTAATTATTTACTGAGCAAAGCTGATGATGATAATGGCTGTGACTTCCAGAACAAACGTTTTACCAAATTGTAAAATTTGTAAAAGATAACAGAAACATCCCAATCTATTACTGCTTCAGTACACCGGTGTGTTAGAGAGCAATCTCACAACATTTAACTCCGCATTGTTCACGTGACAACTTTATTAATTGGCTGTGTCAGGTGGCGGATGGTTTAAGCACAAATTTTACTGACGCAATCTAACCCAACAATCTATCACGAATCGTGATGAGTCCACTGCTGGATGAAGGGCTCTCTAAGCCACTGGCATCTCCAATGCGACGAGCAAACTACACAAAATTAAATACAAACAAAAATGAACAACATGCGGGAATGCACACACTTAACAAATGTTCTTAGAAATTCTATTTCTTTCTAGATTTGAAGTTTTCGTGACTGCAAGGATTCATATTCTAAGGTTTTCGGTAAAGTCACGTAGGTAATAAAAATTAAAATTAACAAAAGTAAAAAAAAATCACGACGTTTCGGAGGCAGCACAAGCTTCCGTCTTCAGGTGGAACCGTCACAGCACGATTGCTGTATCAAGTAACATAAATTCCAAGAAAACAGTCCTTGTATATATACTGGTTGAGGGTGGGAGGAGCCAAGGCAGGCCCTGAATATTATTTTTGTGAGGTTCGGTGCGGCTGAAACTGTATTTCCACTACGCAATTTGAGGCATGCAGTCCTGAATTTGAACTCAACCTAGCAGAGGCAAAAGCAGCCCGCAACATAAAAAGTAAGCCAACAACAAACACAAAGTTGCAGCTCACTGAGAGAAGAACGATTTATCCAACAGGCAACCTTTGCAAAACAAGAAAGGCTTTGTCATTTACCGCCGTCTCCCTGGCCGTGCACCAGCGTGGCCTGCCAAGGTTTTAAGGAGGCAAGGGCGCCGTGCTTCTCTCGGTGTGGCGTCAATGTCAGTGCGGTGCCACCTGACGGCTGCGCGCTGCCCCCCGCCACGCGCGCGAGCTCACCAGTCGCGCAGGGCCCCCCCCCAGGGCCCCCCCCCAGGGCCTCCCCCTCCCAGGGCCCCCCCCACCCCATCCCCGTGTGCGCGCGCTGCCCCCCACCACGCGCGCGAGCTCACCAGTCGCGCAGGGCCCCCCCCCCCAGGGCCCCCCCCCAGGGCCCCCCCACCCCCTCCCCGTGTGCGCGCGCTGCCCCCCACCACGCGCGCGAGCTCATCAGTCGCGCAGAGCCCGCCCCCCCCCCAGGGCCCCCCCCCCCCCGTGTGCGCGCGCGCGCGCGCTCTGTTAGTCGCCCCAGGCATCCACGTTTTTTTGGCAGTCTCGGTTCAGCCCAGCGGCCGGCCGTCCCCCACCTCCGCCTCCCCCCCCCCGGCACGTTTATACAAACCCCCTTGTTCTCTCGGAGCCTGCGGAGAATAGCTCCGAGGCTCTACGGCTGGCAAGGAGTTTTTTTTTAGGAACATTCGCGGTCCGTGTTGGCATCTCCCGAGTAAAGGACGACATGGTGGTGGGGGGTGGGGGAGGTGGCGTTGCAAGCTGTCGGTGATTTAGTGTTTTTTATTTTTTAAAACGTGCCTCCTTCACATTACGTTTATCGTAGAAATAGCCCGGGCACTTTAAGCGTTTCCCCTAATGAATACAAAAAAATAGTAGCCCGCTTGTTGTGTGCGTGCGTGCCCCATGTGTCTAAATACACCGTGGACGTTACATTTTCCGTGAGTAACGTGTGTAATTTTCCATAATTTCTTGCACATGCAAGACACGGGTGAATTTCTAATAACGATCATAATCCTGCACGTACGTATGAATGAGTCCTATAAATCTGCGTCACGAGGTTTTCGCTGCGAGGGTTACGATTCGGAATGTCATGCGGAAATGAGATAATGTGGTCGGTGATTGCAAGAGCAACTGAGTTATTGGTTGACATATCATCCGGTACACAACACAGGACGTAAAAACGACGAATAGAACACGAAACACTGCGTATTGGGGAGCGCAAGACAGCGTGTAATTTGGGCTGAAGTGCAGTACTTCAGGAGCTTAAGTGGTTCCAAAGACGCAAAGCAACGCTTACACTCTTTGCACAAAACTGTAATTACAATCATATAGAGGTTGGTGATGCTACACGATTTGCAAGGCTGCAAGAGTCAGACCGGTGATTAGTAACAGAAGATGTTTGGCAAATGTCCAACGAACATGGCTTTATTCACCACCACTTTTAACCCTCGGAGACTTCGATGTTACGACCAATGCGGCCAATTGATTTCTCTCACCTTTTAATTGTGTGATATATAGCCTGTTTTTATACGTACGCATAGTTTTGCCGGGGGAGGTGGCAATGGGACGCAAAAATTGGTGCTCGTTGAAATCTGTTTAGTTGGTACAATAATTAATAACCATGAACCACACTCATTCTGTACTTTACAAGTAGTTTGCTTTCGTTTATTTTTTATATTTGGCAAGTGAGCAAAACACGTCAAATTGAGAAATATTAAAATACATGTTAAATCATCTATCGCCACTGTAAACCACGACTTGTTTATTATTACAAACACAGAGATTACATCTTCGTGACATAACACGTGAGACGTTTCCAATTCAAGAAGCCCATGCGACCAAACATTTCCGGCATCTTTCGAAGGCTATTCACAAAGTCGAACAAAAACACTTCCATGGAGCAACTCGAAAGCCCTTCAGTTGCCAAGACGTATGTTTGATGTGGCATCGAGCGGGACTATGGCGGTATTTATCGTGCACCAGTGTCCTACCCCCCCCCCCCCCCATATTTGTATAGCGGGGGTATTTATGGGCGACTAACAAAAGCAAACACAAGGGCCGCCCACACGGGAAGTCCGGGCGTGTTTGTACTGCTGCGGCGTTGCCGGCGAACGAGGATGAGAAACTGGGGCGGCTCCTCGCGTGTCATGTTCCAATGAGCAGCAACCACCCCACTTTGTAAGCTGTTGGCCTTTTCAATGATCTCCGCTTTCAGCCCGGGGGGGTGGGGGGGAGTGGGGAAAGGTCTTGCGCGCTGGCTTACCTCAATAACTCTGTCGTTCACCTGAAGCCCTCCGTCTTTATCCGCAGGGCCGTTCTCCACCACTTTGGACACGAAAATCCCTTCGCCAGATGTCCCCTCTTGACTGTCCTGATCGGCAGGGCAATTGAAAGTGGCTTATTGGTTGCTCATCCCTAAGCACGTCTCAGCAGTAGCAGCAGCAGCAGCCATATATTTGGTGTTGATAAATTGACGACTCAAAGTATATATCACTACAAGGTCCATATACAATCCAGATCTAACTGAACACGACAAAAAAATATATTGACTTTGTATACGTATATAAAAAAAACGAATATGGATTCCTCATTTCACACACGTGTGTTTAAATGCAAGAATGTGAACGCACGGAGTGGCATTATGATTTCAATAGGCGCGGTGGGTGGCATTGTTGATATTTGCGGTTGAACTTGGTCTTACAGGGCTGGGGCGTCCGCCAATGATGTTAAATCCGAGAGAGCCATGCTGTCGCTGCAGTACAACGGTCAGAGTCGACGGCTCCCCTCCCTGCAGAGAGCATGGTTCCAATTATAAAACACTGCAACGTGCACATTCCATGGCCAAACACGCCACACATAAGTGTGTTGAAACTTAAAAAAAAAACAAGCCCGGCAAATGTTAATCCTACTGAGCCTACAATCTGCGAATAAAGGTCAGTGATTATTTGCCTTCTAATTACATTTCAGCGTGAATATTTTTACTTTATTTTCTTTACATTGCATTTGACACCCTTAGTCTTACTCCGGTGCCACACTGCTTGTCTACCTGCTTATTCGAATGTGACTTAACATGAAGATGCGAGGAATGAAGTCAAATTAAATAGCCATGTGCATTGGACTTAACTTTAAACACACACTGTGGCTCTGCTGCTGTTCCTTGTAATGCCCTGGCATGCATTTTCAGCTTAGGTTTTACATTTTACGGTTATTGAGTTACGGCACATAGCTTTTCTCCCCCGAAGAATGCAAAGTCTGCAAGTCACGGTGCAGATAAGCCAGGGCGCACATTGTGTGTCTCATGTTCTGAAGCACAGAGCTGGAATACAAATTTTAATAATATTTATGAAGCAATAAAAATCACATACCCTCCTTACACCGAGGCTATTTTCAGCCGCAAAAATTCCTCCGCGTTGAATTTTAACCTTGAATGGCAAAACGGTCATTTGCAACGCTGTGCCGCCATCGGCCAATTTACTCCGACAAATGAAGGGCGCACCGATATGGGGGTGGCATAGTGTGTGGTAAACCCAAGCTCTTTGAAAACGAAAAGTGCCACCACTCGGGTCTGAGGGCTCTGCTGCCAAGTGCCACTTCTCGGTGGGGCGACGACAACAACAACAACAGCTGGAGCAGCAGTGGCGGTTATTCCCGGTGCAATGAATTCCACACTCGGCCGGATCTCTGCGGCACATTTCCACCGTCAAAGGTGGTTCATCGTGGAAGAGTGTTCATGTGAGCACAGACTACTTGGCTCCTCAACCGTGCTGTTTACGTTCACCGGAAACGGTAACGTAAACCCCGATCGCGGACCGCGGCTGCGCGGGGACCTATTTGTGTGTTTTAGGCTATTGCCTGCCTATCTTCGCCACCGGCAGGGAAGTGCTGATGGATACGCTACAGCTGTTCATAAATGCGGACATTCAAAGTTCAGGTGTTGCTGGCAGGATGGATAGTGACATTTAAGCACGCAATGAGTGACCCCCCCTCCCGCAATTTGAAGCACTGTCACGATTCAGGGCCTTGATTCGATTTCCATGTGTCTGGTGTCACCCAAACGACTGACAGTCGATGTTCATGATAGACACTTGCCACCTTGTACGATCTTTAGTGTCTCTCACTCTCTCTCATGAAGAGTCCCATCCAACTGCTCACAATGTTCCAGCAAGCTCATCCGTTTCCTTCCTACTTCCCCTCTTTCATTGCAAACTCATCTCTCGCATAATCACCTTTGTCATATCCCCAGCTGCTGAAACCCCCTTGGGATATGTCCCACAAATGCCACCTTCCTTCACATCAGACTTATCAGCCTATACTGCCTGCCTCCGTTGGACCATCTCATTAAAAATGTTTACGTATCACTTGTGCTGTATCCTTCGTTTCGCTAGCTCAAAGGTGCCGTTTGTATGCGGTTTGCATAAATAATACATTCTTACAAGGACGATTGGATTTATGCATTGTGATCATAAGAATCAATATAAATCAACAAATAAAATAATTGTTACGTGCATATCTAAATGTAACTCTATATCTGCTCCATATAGTCTCCCAACAATATAAAAATGAATACTGTAGTGAGTAGACATGAGCACACGTGACATCATGAGTGGTAACGCTATTAACTACTAACCATGTAAATACATTGCAGAAAGCAGCAACTGCTGTATATTTTTTTTGGGGGGGAGGGGGGTGGACTACGCATTTGTCTATCAATTGTACAAATCTTCTTGGTTCTTTCGGTAAAGTCAGGCAGAAGGGAAGTAATAAAATAATAAAAATAAAACATAATAAAATAATTCTCACGACGTTTCGGCCACAACGCAAGCAGCCGTCCTCACCTGACGTTTCGGCCGAAACGTCGTGAGAATTATTTTATTATATTTTATTTTTTATTATTTTATTACTTCCCTTCTACGTGACTTTACCGAAAGAACCAAGAAGATGAATCCCTGCAGTCACAAAAGCTTGAAATCGAAATTTTACAAATATTAATATTTTCAAATACGTTTCACTCCCCTCTGTAGCCACGAATCTACTGCAAGTGTAGATCATCTTCACGCATGACCAGCCATTGAGAGATGCATGCTTGGACTTACTCTTAAGAGACATCATTTAGGAGCACATGGATAAGAGACAATATGCACGTCAGGGACATGGCATTGATGGTTGAGAAATGCAAGTGGATTTGAGAAGATGTGACGCTGTAAGGGACGATGGCCAGTGGTCGAGTGCGTTGATGGAATGGCAGCCAAAGGAGGAGAACTCTCACCGGAGAGATCGTCGAACGTGGAGATGGTGTGATGACATCAGCTTGTGTACTAGAGCTACATGGATATACTTATTATTTCCTTATATCGTGGGACCGTGATAGATGGATGGGGGGGGGGGGGGGGGCTTGGAAAGGCTTCATCATCCACAAATAGAGAGATCACGGCAGATGATAATAATGATGACGATGAAGAGCCCATTAAGATCAGAAGACCATCTTTCAAGGGAGACTTGGAAGTTCCTTGTACGTTTTCACTGAGGCAGTCAATCCACTGTCAAAATCCTAGGCGTAATATTTTCAGTGCTGGTTATGAGGAGGTGCCGTATTATGTCAAGTACTCCGTGGTGCAGCTGAACGCATTGATGAGGCGAGCAGGCGCATAACGTGATACATTTTACTCTCCCAATCCTTGATGCTGATGGTAATAATAGTATCAATACCATGCATTTATGCAGCAACGCCTCACTTAGTCTTTAGATTTTTTTTCCCAGAAGAAACCTGCCTTGGGAAGCTTGGCAAATGCCACCAGTGAGTGTTCAGCATAACGGAGGACAGCAGAGGACTCAGGAGAAAGCCATGCATATGAGGAGGAAACACTTAAATAAAGCTCTGCACAGGTAGAGTCAATAATACATTGCTGGGCAGGGCATCTCCTTGCCACCTGGTAGTGGAAACCCACAACACCTAGAACCCCCAAGCAGTCTCCCAGTGGTCACCAGGCTCAACCCTTGGTAGCTTCTGAATTCTGGTGAGGTCAGGCCCATCCATAGTGACTTGGTAGTAGGCATAAGCAATGCCTAAAGAAAGTGGCCTTCAGTGTTTAAGCAGGAGACATTTACATCGTTGGGAAATGCGTAAATCCTTCCCAGAGCCTTTCACTTAATTTACCACTTCACCACACCCACTATGCTGCTGGACCTGCCGGCAATGCCCTACAGTGGGGAAAAAAATAATTAATGAATGCCTTAATACATCAATGTATAAATCGCTGCTGCTTGAACGGCTATACACAGAGGAACACAATTGGTGAAATGTGGACAAATGTTGCCGAATAAATAAAGTCACTTTTCTTGGTGAAAGACTGCAGCTACTTTAAACAAACCGCTGCTGGGATTACCAGATCTTATCGGTAAGAGCACTGAATATCAACTAAGGGAGTCCCGTTCAATGCAAAGAGCAATATCGTACACGAAACTCATTTGACAAAGGCCGAATGTTTTAATTAGAAGTAAAAATAGCACTAAAAAGCAATTACTTATTTTAAAAGGCATAACTCTCTTGGTTCAGCAATCCGAAAAGAATGGAGGGCCAGGATTTGGGGCAATTACTCAAAAGGCTTAGGCCGGCCCACTTTGAGCGAGAGCTTCTTGCTTGATGGAGAGCCATCAGCTGACTGCAACACAAAAAAAACTATTCTCACCCCGCCCCCATCAGGGTCTGTCTCCGGGCTCGATATACGGAGGTCGACCTAAACACGAAAGCACTTGAAAATGTTCTAAACTTAGCTAAACACTCTGAGTGCGGTCTGCGTCACCGCACCCTCCACTTCGAGTAGATATGACCTCATTTATATCGTGACAGTGCCCATTAGGATCTTTGTGTAAGACACAAATTATGCTTGTCTGATTTATAATTACTGTGAAATGTATCAAATATGGGAAACCAAAATTCAAGTCGAGAGGCAAAACCTCAGTGTTTAAAAAATTAGCAATTGCTAACACGTGATTATGTGAGGTTTATACCCCAATTATAGATGGATGCCAGAGGTAGACCGCGTGCAAAGTGGAGAGGAAATGCATGCTTTGTTCTGGTTTTGGTGCACACTTTAATCTCTGAGATCCAAGCTGAAGGTGTTTTGGCAGATGTCACGACAGTACCATATTTGCAATCAACTTTGAGACCATTAATCCATGCGCAGGTGGAGCACAGTGCCACTGTTGTTAATATTTTAACCATGATTGTTATTTATTTGAAATTAAAGGCAGCATTGCAATTACTGATGTGACCTATAATTTACTCATAATGTGAATGCCAAGCTGGATGCATATAGCCGAGGGGTCTGAATCTCTCCGGACCAAACATTCGCAAGGCTTCACGAAAATTGTGTATGGCGATTTGTCAATCAACTGCTAGATGAAGGCCTGCCCCCATGCTATGTCGGTCAAAGAGGGTTGTTTGACCATACTTCGCCATGCTGGTCAGTGCAGGTTAGTGAAAAGGGGGGGGGGGTGGCAGCAGGACCGGTTCAAATATCACTCGCCACTGATGCCGGCCACAGCCGGGAATTTCATTGAGATAGCCGGATTCACAACGCAGTGTGCAAACCGCTGCACCACCACTCCACTCCAATATTCTACTACAATTCCTGTAAGGAAAATAAACACTGCGTCTATTGGCCGCACACACAGTATATATGTAAACTGACCGACATTATATAGAACAAACATATTGACACGTTTTAACGCGGATGTACACACTAGAAAAATTGGAGAAAAAAATGTTCGGTATGGCATAGGTATTTGATTTATACGCAAGAGTGACCATAAATACCTTTTAGGTTTCATTTTGACACCATAATTTGTCAGGCTGCTTTCCCTATATATTATTTAATAGTGTACACATATTTGATCTTTCCTGTACGTAACCGTATACAGCTATAAAAAGCATAACCGTCGTCTAGAAACACGTTACGCATATACAGAATGCAGTACAGCAAGTAGGCCAATTCCCTCCCATCAAGACGCAGTGTTTAATTTCGATATGGCAATCAAGGGAAGCAAATTGGCTTGGGACGGGCGACAACAATTGCCAATGGACGAGACGAGTGAAGGCATCGCAGTCAAAGGAGCGAATGGCAAGCGGCGTTGAGATCAGTTCGTTGTGCAGTATCGACACGGATCACATCAGCGCTGGATTGTGACCAATGGCGACGGTGTGGGTAGGCCTCCCTCCAGCAGTGGATAGACAATGGCTGACGATGTATGCTTTATCCGGGCACTCCAGTTTGCTCCAACGAGCCCACAAACATCATGAAAAAAAATGGTGTTGGTAAAAAAATGTAAACTTGCTAGAGACACAAATCAGTCGGAGGCAGTTGAGTCTCGTCGAGGTTAATGAGTTATTGTCCGCATTAATAATTATTTCATGCCATAGCCCATGGGCGGTCCTTAATTCAGCAATGGATAAATGTCCTCCTTTGAATGACAATGATATATGATTATAATTACGCCTGTTTACCCATAGAGTAGCTGTATGAATATCTACGCAGAATGCCATTCTGTTCTGTCTCCACATATTAAATCAATCTAGCGTTTAGTTGTTTTGCTTTGTTTGATGTCTTTCACCCGGCACCTCCGATTAGCGCGGCCGAATACGTACGGTGCGAAAGAAGTTCAACATCCATATAATCGACGTTTTAGTCCATCAGCCTATTGCCATCGCAGACCGACATCGGGCAGCATTTGTTTAAGCAATCGAACTCTGGCGCGGTTTCGACCTTCTGTGCCTCATCAGCAGAAGTCACGCTTGCTAGACAAATGCTCTTGGACACCCATTTAATTATTATTGGCAAAGAAACCACTCCATACAAACTATGCGACGCCGTTCAAATAAAAACAAATATCTACACGGCACACACCAACGCATAACGATTATCTTGCGCGCGTTCATGATACCGATCCATTCCACATTCGCGACGTTACATCCGTGGCTCGCCGCTCACCTTGGCCGGGAACGCGAGGCTCTTGCTGAGTCTTTCCAGCTGCACTCGGTACTCGCTCAGCTTCTTCTGGTACCTGAGCGCCGTGGACTGCAGCTCGCTCTGCAGCGCCGACACCTGGGAGAGCAGCGACTTCTCGCGCTTGCTGGCACGCAGCGCTGCCTTCTTGCAATCGTACTCCAGACTCGCCACCTTGGCCATGACGGACGCCGAGTGCGAGCGCAACGCCTTGAGGCACGAGTGTCCACCACCACCACCTCCACCACCACCACCGGCTCCCGCCGCGTCGCCCCGGTGATCTCGCTGCACCAGCATGAGTCCGCAGCCGCGCTCGCAGATGCCCACCGGGCGATAGTCGCAGCTTTCGCGCATGTGCGCGTCCATGTCGCGGAGATTGAGCACCTCGGGGCAGCCTTTGTTGCGGCACTTGGCCGGAGAGAAGTCGCACATGTCCGCGTGCTCGGACAGCTGCTGCAAGCGCACCGCGCGCTCGCAGCCCCGGGCGCGGTGCTCGCAGCTGATGTTCAGCTTGAGGATGAGGTTGCGCAGGGGCAACACGTGGTTGAGCTCCTTGGTGGAGACGCGCTGGCACTGCACGGGGCAGCTGCCCTTCTGCACGACCCAGGGCAGCACGCAGCTGGCGCAGAACACGTGTCCGCACGGGGTGGCGAGCGGGTCCTCCAGCACCTTATTGCACAGGTTGCACTTGAAGTCCGGATCCACCTCCTCGGCGAAGCGGTCCAAATCGAATCCCATTGTTTTTGTTGTGTTTCTTTTTGTTTTGTCAGAACGCACGCGGGGATGGAGGAGGAGAATACGAAGAAGGCAGAGGCTTGGGTGGTTGAAGACAAGAGGTGGGGAAGACGTAGAGCAAGCAGAGGTGAGTAGTGGAGGTAGCGGGCGGACGGGCGGTGTAAGAGCGACAGCAAGGGACAGCAGAGCGAGAACGAGAGAGAAAAGATAGAGGAAAGAAGAGAAAGGGACCGATGGTAGGGTGCGGGACAGGGGAGGGAAGAAGAGGAGGAACCTCAAGGACGCGGGTGCCGCATGGGTGAGACTCCGACCCCCCCCCCCGGGTGCTCACCGGCGCCGCTCACGAAGCTCCCAGTGCCCGACTGTGAGCGTTGTCATGATCCCTGCGCTGTTTTGCGGGAGAGGCGATGGGGACGGGAGTGGGGCGGGCAGCTGGGTGATCCCTCGATTTTTCTCTCCTCCCACTCTTCCCCCCCTCCGCGCTCTCTCTCTCTTCTCCCTCCCTCTCTCTCTCCCTCTCCTCTCGCGCTCGCTTTACCGTAATGACCAAGAGAGAGCGAGAGGGCTCAGAAGCTATCCGTTAAAACCTCCCCTTGCACCCTCCACCCACCCCGCCCGCCCGCCGCCGCGAAGGAGACACGGGTGAACGCGACGCGTCAAGATGCCCCAACCGCACGCAACAAGACAATCTGCCTGATCTTTGCTGCAGCGTTGCCCAACATCGCCGTATCCCCCCCCACCACCACCACCCTTCTTTGTTGTTGTTGTTACAAAGCGCAGGAGACAACACAAGTGACCCCCGCACCACCTCCTCCTTCCCGGTGGCTTCCCCGATAGCTACGGTAAAGGGCGTTACCTCGAGAAGGCGATGAAAAAAAAATTAAACACACATAGAGGAGGAACACACACACACACACAGACACGTACACACACACACAGACACGTACACACACACACAGAACACACACGCACAGACAGGCGACGTCACCTTTTTGGAGCCACGCACCAAAAAAAAAACCTCGCGACTGGACGTGTCGAGAATAATGCTGCGTCTTGACAGAGTGAAATGTGTACCTGTTCTCTGCTAAGTTGTTTGTTCGTGCCTTAAGCTAGCGCATTTGGGTGGAGGGGGGGGCATGGGAGAATTAGATATGGATTACCACAGCTTTCATCGCTGTCCAGGGTGAAAAAACCAACTAGAGATGATTAATGGGAGGAAGAAAAATATCTTACCCATACCAGAAGATGGGAGAAGAGCATTGCCATCTTTTCTAGACACCAACAAACTTGGTCATTTCTCTTTGAGCGAAGGTTTACCATAACCGTGCAGTGTACATTTACTGTGGTTAGGGTCCACACTATGCCGATACGACATCTCGGTACAAAACGATTTCTGCCATCCGAACACGAATTCCAATTCCTGGACTGTCCGTGAAGAAGCCTGGATAGGTATCAATCCCAAGGAAAGAGAGAAACTGGATTAAATGTGAATTCATTCTCTTGAGTGGTGTTTTTATTTATTATGAGCGTATCGTGCAACTGACAAAAAGAATTGGGATTTTTAGTGTCACTGAATACCTAAAGGTTTTCTAGGACATCTCCCTAAAAAAAACCGATGACGATTTTGTTAAAAGCAACAACAAAAAATGGACAGGTGGAAACCCTCTGGCCCGGGCAGGCGGTGAGACCCGTGCCAAATATATTTTTGTGGCGCCCAAGTTGGAGCCATGCGAGATTAAGAGCAACGGTGATGTGGATGAGCTCGTCATTCTAATGTGTGACTTATAAGTGAAGGAAGGATGTGTGTGCTCCGTGATTGCGAATGCTGTTCAGCCTTGCGGCTTTGATAATTATTGGTCTTGGTAGTTAGGGGGGATAATTTTTAAATCGGGGTAATTCAGCCAGCGAGTTTTCAGATAGGCATGCTATTATTACAGGCAATGCTTTAACAAATACTACACGAAATAAAACGAGCAAGTTCTGTTGGGCGACTTGTTTTTTTTCTGAATGATTGCATGCAATGGATAACTCCGAATGGAAATGTACACATACGGCAGATATTTGTTATTAATACAACTGTTAGATATCAAATTAAAACTTCCTTGTAATATAATTCACCGTGATGGAAACGTTGTAGAAGTCGTTATCATGGCATCGCTATCAAAAGGTGCTCTTCATCCAGCAGTAGATTAACATGCTGTAAATGGTTATTATCTTTATAATACTTTTTTAAAAATATATATTTAGTGCCAGAAATATGTAACAAATACAAAGAAGCCACTCGTGTGATAATTGATTCTATTGTATCATCACACGCAGTTCACAATTCAACCTGATTTAATTTCACTATTAATGGGATGCCTAAACTGACTAGCAGATGATTTAAAGCTCACTTATTTTTTTTACAAATCCATGGTGTCTGCTCCAGTGTGCGCAATTAAGACGAAGACGAAAACAAACTCTCCCTTGTTTTAAAATGTCTCTGTAATTGTCCCGCCAATGATGACCCCAGCCTGTGCTGGACACACCTGCGACGAGGAGCTTCATAGTTCATCGGCGGAAAATAGTGACCCGCGCAAAGATCTCGAAGATACTGCGCGTTGCCTCAAAGGGCCATCGCCCGAAACGTCATCTGCGCGTCACCTAAAAGGGCCATCGCCCGAAACGTCACCTGTGATTTCTCTTTCAGGCAGTGTGATTGACGAATGCGTTGAGGTCCTTAGCTCATGGGGTTTCTCCAGCTTCAAATAAAATATCTACGTCTAAAACCCTGCAACGAAATAGAGCAACACGAGGGAATCGCACGTGTGTTCTTGATCCCATAAAACAAATACTGTCGGTTGTTCTGCGACTTGTTATCTCAACTTAACCCATGAAGTAAGTAAAAAATGAAATAAAAATGATCACGTGGAGAAAAGTAGCCGAATTATCCCAAATCCACTACCGACTGCATCATCCCACTCTATACGTAACAACAACAACTGCTATGCTTCCCCAGGCACAATCCAGCAAATTGTTTGACGTGCGCTTCATATTTCTCTTCCATTAGTGGGAATCGGTTAAATATGCCATGTACTCTCGGGTTAATCACAATGAACCTGGTTATTCAATCTGCCCTGTAATCACGGGGGCTCATTTTGCACTGTCCTGCTATGCTAACACAGACATCCGTGCAACGGAGAGTCCCCATGGGCCAAGGGGTGGGTGGCTTGGTTGGTACCACCTGGGGTGGCAAATGTTGCTACCGGTATCCACCGTGGGTAGTTTTCCACCACGAACACAACGTCCTGTTGTACATGCCCTTAATGTTTGTTTGCATTCTCCGTCGATGTTTCATGCAACGTTCCCTTCCAAACCGACATTCCCCATCAAATTGTACGTGCCCGTCTTTAAATGTCATTCTTTTGTACCCCCGGTCAGCGAGGTTGGCTACGTACGGTGCAAAAGAAGTTCAACACACGTGCATTCATAGAAAGCCACTGCAGAAAACTTGCTATCATACAAATTTGTGAACTGAAGTGAACATGATACAACAAGCGTATTGTTATCATTTGCCACTCTCACTGCATGTTCATATAGTAATCAAGAGCAGTGGTAGAATCACGCTGATTATGTTATTGTTTTGTGGTGTGAGTTTAATGCTTTTAACTTCCTCCGAAATTTCAGCATTGTATTGTGTTTGCAGAAAAGGGCACAAATAAGCACGGAGAGATGCATTTTCGGAATTGCACCGAGAAGGATAAACACCATCGATCATATAACCATCGATCAATGCGGGGCACATCGATAGAATGGACGGTTGGCTACGCACCCCGCGAACAAAGTTCAACATACATGGGACTAGTAGATAGAATGGCAGCAAAATGAGAAGAACGGACCTGAGTTGATCGCCACTGCCAAGACGAAGCGATGAGATCAACTCACGTGTAGGAGCGAAGTGGATTGCAGGATGGCGATGGTGATCTTGAGGGAACGCCTTCACATAGCAGTGGACAGAGCATGTGTGCTGATGATGATGATGAACTTTAGTGACTCGACACAAAGTAAAACCACATACAAACTAAGCTTAGAACAGACAATGTAATGTATTTTCTTTGACGTGTGTACATTGTCGTTGTCAGTCTACTGCTGGATGAGGGCTTCCCGACACCATACAGGCCGGGTGAGATATATTGACGACAGCGAATCTATAAAGGTCATTAAACAATGTGTGTTCTTGGTCAATGGACGACATCTTAACTACCTCGCCTGCTATACAGGAAGGATTGATCCAGACCCTGACGAATTTTTATTTGGAGTTCGCATGTTCTCTCCGTGGTCGCGTGGGCTTTCTTTCGTGTTGTGCGCGGTGCATTTAGCGCCACAGCGCGTGGATTTATAGCGTTTGCTTATTTGTTTGATGGTGACTGTGTGTATTTCATATCAGAATCGCCTCCAGTGCTGTTGCTGCTGGCGGCAACAAAAGTTGTTTAAAAGTCAAAAGTCTCCGGGTACTCCGTTTTTTCCTCCACATTTAGAAACATGTTTTTCTATTATTTGGCTAATATATATTTTTTCGCATGATAAGTCACTTCGTTGAGCTATTATTTGTGGTCAGGTCGCGTCTATATAGAGCTATATAGTTCAGTGGGCCTTACCTGGTTTAAAAAAACGATGTAGTTTAGTTTAAGAGAGATACTTTAGTTTATTCGCGGATGTTCCTGAGGGCTATGGTAATCATTGCGTGTTTAAGAGATACAATACAGTCAAAAGTAAACTTACTGAAAGTTAAATAATGTATTTCATGAGCTTCAGAACGGTCTAAAAATGTTTTGCATCAATTGAATAGAGCGAGGCATATGGAGGCTGTTAAGAGAACACACGACTTCCTTTGCAATGTTTGCAGTACATTCTTTGAGTATGATGTAAAATATTTTAATGGCGTACCCAAAAAAAATATTATTTTCTGGGGGGCTTGGGAAAAAAAAAACCAAAGCAAAAAATGTTCCGTATGAAAGGCGGAGTTGCATTAATAGCAGGATAATTAAATACTGTAGTTCATACCATACATAATGCAGCAATGCATTTGTAGGCCCACTGTTCTCCTCTGCTCTTGATGCAATACCCGTGTCTAATTGGAGCAAAGAGCTCATATTGGTGTGGGCCTCACACTGGGTCCTGGACGATCCCTGTGGCGGTCGGGCTTATTGAAAGTTAGCCACTCATAAAGCAAGCAGTTGGCTGAAGCATGTGTAACAAATTGATCGTTAATTAGAAGCCTCCCCCTGCTGGGTGTCTGAAACCAAAGTGAGTTTGGGGACACTTTAGGAAGACACAAAAAAACCCGTAATTTAGGTTTGAGTTTCTGCAGCACGAGAGCTAAAAAAAGACTTGGTAAAACATTCGTAAAGAGTTTTAGAAATGTCAGACTATACACCAAAACCGCTTAGGTGTACGGATCTAAGAAGTTTCATATGACAAACAGATCATCCATTTTTCAAGTGATTCAGATGGTCATTTATTTTTCATGAAGCTGACATTCACAGGAATGTCGGTTACAATTCGCTCACCGTTTTTG